TAGCTTCCCGTTGCACTGATTGATTTTTTCACTGTTAAGCCGCTAACTACTGCTGTCTGAACTAATCAGGTTGGATTTGCGTCATGATAACTTTATTATGCAATGATATCCCTGTTATTGTTGCCAGAAGGAGGCGTTGTTATGTTGTTGTGATTGATAATTGTTCATACATTGTTTGATGTTTCACCTCATAATGTCAGAGTAAAATTTTTCAGTCAGAAGTCTAGCTTGTGATTCTGGTACCGTAGACCAACTTTATATGTATGCTTTCTTTCACGCTACAGTCACGTATATAAAACCATGCCCATTCTCTCTACTTTTATTCTTAATCGATGATCATTCGGGCTCATCTATCTTAACAAGACCAGCTTAATGAAACCTGAACTTTCGTCAGTTTTATTCACATCTATCTGATGAACAGAGAGGACAAATAGTGAGTCAACCATTCTGGTAATCATGCCTCGGATTTCTCTTTGTTTCTGACGTTTTTAATTTCCTTGCAACTGGCCATATTCGCTGCATTGTTTCGCTAGATTAAGATGAGCGTTTTTATTCCATAATAATCCATTTTTTCTCTCATTTCGCTGATTCTTTTTGCTAAAACCTTCCAATAATCGCCACAATGTCGGGTTCAGTTATTGGGTCTAGACTGACTGCTGGATGCGAGCCGCTTTTTTAGTTGTCCCTATTGACAACCAGTATGATCCAACTCAAAACGTCGCCTCAGAAACTGATAGCTAAGGGATAAGGGCTCGTTGGCTCGAACGATCCCAGCCGATGTGCAGTTTTGCTCAAGCTTCTCTGGTCAGTTATGGCTCGATACAGTGAGGTTGCTGTTGTTTTTATCTTCTTTGCATTTTGGTTTTAAATAAGTTCGTTTTCTGTTGGGGTGAGGTGAAACATCTCCACCGTTGTCAGGAATGTTGTGCGTATATCATGAGCGACTCCATGTAACGGTGAACGAGCACGAATCGCTGTTTATATTGTTTTGCTTTCTTATCTCCCATTCTTAACGGTTAGCTCTACTACCGAAATAAGTGAACTCTAGTAGAGTCTATCAGAGGCTCATCAATATTCTTTGTTCGAGCTCTGCTCGCCTTGATGGAACTTTCATGAGTATTTGGCCATCCTTCCATTGCCAGCCTCTATTCAACTTTTTCTCCCGACACAGAGAACATCTACAGCCATTTTATAGGGCTGAGGATTTGTGATTTGCTAAACTCTCTTACTACCATGCCTTCAACAGTTACTTGAACCTGATTCTTCACTAGTTCCAATCCATTTTTCTCGACTTCTATGCGGTTTTCGAACAATGCATGACTTCGATTGAAGCGCCTTCACTCGAATGCTTTTTTCCGTGGATCACAAATATGACCACATTTTTTTCTTATTGATCTATATTACTCCTTGGTTTTTATAAAGCTTTTGAGCAGAGGTGGGAGTTCTAATAAGCACCTCTCACCTGTGAGCACGTTCCTTCTATGGCAGGCCGAACTGCACCCTACTCCCATCATAGGCGAAACTCCGCCCAGAATAGGATTCACTATCCCACTTCAGAGCTTGCTCATTCTCACCGATTTTGCTTGTCTGTGGGCGCTCTTGGATCGTGTAGTAAATTCTCGTTCAAAGTACCTTTAAAAAAGTTCCATTCACAGCAGTTGATCCGCTGGTCCTTTAACATGCGCATCCGTAAACACCTACGTCCATTTTCCCGGAACCTGGGCTGTTCTGAAAATCAGGGAGTTTCTCCCACAACAACCTCAGTACGCTGCGTTCTGCTGCATTGCTCTGAGCTGGAAGTTATCTTTAAGTTCGTGGAATGCGGCTATTCGGCTTCTTTCTGCCGTCATGTTCCACTCCAGAAGTTTTGAAAGAGAAACAGAAGTATGGCTCCTGACTCTAGTCTCACCCCTTCTTGAGTCTTCGCTGGGCAAGGTCATTCTTCGTTCTCTTCCAAAATGTGCTATCTCGTGGTCCGGGTTATTTGATGAGCCCATCCGTTTCATCATGTTCTTACCTTTCGATTAGACACGTGAAGTATGAAAGTGACATCTGCATCCTCAATGATTTCCATAGCATGAATTTGGACGTTTTCAGTTGATCAGACCATCTTGATCGGAAGCACTTTTGTCTGCTTGTTTGCTTTCATCTACTACTACAGCCTTTCAAATTCCTAATCATGGTCAAAAGAAAAGGAACCATGACAGCTGTGAAAGACTCGGGAGAGCCGCCGTCGAAAAAGCGAAAGAAAAATGTCCAGAAAACAGAAGAAGCACCCCCAGATATGCCGGCAACCAAGTCGGAGTCTTCGAATAAAGCGTCGAAATCGGGAATCTTCCCTAGAGAACACGTTGGCAGTCGATTCTGTGACAGCCGGGTGTACATACCAACCGTGAACGATTTTACAGCAGACGCCGAACAAGGGTCAATGCTAGATGAGGTAACTTTTTGTATCTGGATTTGCATTCTCTCTATGCACCGTTTTTAAGGTGTCACTCCTACCTGTAGAGGACCTCACGAGTTTGATGTGTGGCAACATTATCTATTCGTTGATTAAGAAGACTGCCATTGGGGCTGATTTATTGAAATGCTGCGCAGAGTTGCAAGGAAACCACGCTCGCCTAGATTTAAGGTAAGTTTTGCCTACCGCTCAGGGAAGAATTTTTCCCCCAATTCACCACCACTAAGCTGCTCTTGCCAATTCACACATGTAGTCTTGCTCATACACGGGTATAATATAAATGGTGCAGGAGTTGTCCGAAACAAAAAATCAGCGTAGGGAAATTGCAGGGCAGTTGCGAACGGGGATTCGATCAGGAGACGATCACTTCGACTACTCCTTCATGAGGGGTGCAGGTAAGCTTCATTCCTTCAAAATGGGGAAGACGCCAGAAAATTTTGTAAAAATTTTCTAATCTATGATGTTAAGCTCCTCCTTGCGAGCAGAATCTATTACCTTAATTGGGACTTCAATATCTCCATACGCTTCTCGAAAACCGTTCTGCTTCATAGCACCCGTACATAAGCCACGGTCGCAATCCCTCTTGTTCCATTGGTATATGTTGTTGCCAAATTAATGATCAACAATTACAACATGAAGGATAAACCTTTTAACTAATTCAATTCCGTATTGGGATGCGCCCCGTATTCGACTCCTAATCAAAATCGTCGGTCTGATCTAAATGTGTGTACGACCTATACAATGAATTGCGATGAATAGCTTATGTACAAGTCACCGCTTTTGGTCTTCGGGACGAGACTGGTGTCAACAATCCTACCAATGATAGATGTGATAGTGAAGAATACGACGTCTTTGCCTGGAATGCCTCTACAGTAGTCTTGTGGGCTGGCCTTAACGATAGACTAGATTGTAGCTACAGTGTGACTTTTTCACATGAATAAGGAGATGGAGATTATTAATCATGGGCCCCAGTAGCTGTCCTTTATAGCTAGCAAGGGATTTGCCTGACTTAGGATCAGTTAACACCTCTGGTGAGATGGGACGAAAGTATGATTCTCTGGTGCTAGCGATCGAACGGCAAACAACACTGAATTTCACGGGACGAATATTGACACCATTTCCTCTTGATGATTTACCTTGGCTGTACATGCAGTACTATTTTTTCAGTGAGGAGTTTCTAACACCTCATGCCATAAGTTTATATATCAAAACGATGCTGCACTTCGTCATTGGGGAATCTCCATGGAACTTCTGTACGGTTAGTCGCTCTTCGCGTGGTTTGGGTCTGGTGTTTTACCATCCAGTTGTAATTACATTCAGGAAGAATTCAGCAATCGCCTATCGGCACGGCTAATTCTGGCCCGACCTGGTTCTCATCTCATTGACTCCACTTTCTACAGTTACAAAATTTATCAACTAGGTACGTTGTTTTAGGTAGTATTTAGCAATAACTGGGAGGTTCCACGGGCGATAAACATCGAATGCGTTTGTGCAGCGAAAAATTGACATGGATACGTCGCGTCATTGACCCGGAAAATATAAAAATCGCAATTCGAATATTTATCTTGGGTAAACACAGTAGGAATCAGAATAGTCGACGCATTCCTGAGTCCCGAGTGCATAGAAAAGGTGAACTTTGGGAGGGTATGATCAACATAGTAGGATTCAGTCAGTGGGATTATGTAGACACTACTTTACTATTGCAGATCTTGAGTACGGAAACGGGGCATGTTCATCAATTATCTCTTGATTTGTTTAACCATGGTTTAAATTTATCTAAAATCTCCTTGGTCATTTGGTGGCTATTGTGTAAGTTTTACAGCCAAACAAGGGTGTGCTAGCATAGCTCATAGGTGGGAGTGTGCGATTCTATCGCCAAGATAATGGGCTCGCTACATACTATCGTCGTTGTAGCGGGGTCACGCCGGTTGCACGGAGCGCAACGCATTGCGCGATAAGGGTGAGCCGGGTTTCATTGTAACAGTTCGAAACAGTTTGGCGCGTTTCGTCTAAATCGCAATTATTGGGTTGTAACATAAGTTCGTAGAGTTTTTTCACAAAGATTTATCTGAACCAAAAAACAATAATTATAATAATAAATTAACCAACGATGTATCCTCCGTTACTGTTCACGACCTCTTCCCATCTCTCGTCCAATTTGTTGATGGCGATTCGCCGAAAATCGGCCGTTGTGGTGTCGAAGAATTTGTTGAGCCAGTTTTTAAGGTCCCCATCGCCATCGAAGGTAACACCCCTCATTGGGTTTAACATAGAGCGGAAAAGGTGATAGTCGGCAGGTGCAAGATCCGGAGAGTGCGATGGATGCTGAAGAACCCCCCATTCAAGCTATTGCAGTGCTGTT